ACTGTCTGGGGAAAAGTATAGAAGACCCAAGGATAAATAAAGCCCTGGAGAACCCAGCATGGGGAGCAATAGAGGAAGGAATCTTCCAGTTCTTCACTGGAGATGCTGCTGCTACCAAACATAACTTACACTAACCCTCAGGCTCATCGGCGGAGGAGAAAACACCAGCTACATTTCCACAGTTTGTAAGGGAGACAGCTCAGTGGGTAAGAGTGCTTACTGTGCAAGCATGAGGGACTGAGTGCGACTGAACAGTACCCACGTAAAAGCCAAACATGACCATACATGCCTGTAACTCCAGCAGCAGGGGGAGAAGACAGGTGGATCCTGGCAATTTACTGCCCAGCCAACCGTGCTGAATGAAATGCAAGGTTCCAGTTCAGTGAGAGACCCTGTCTCAAACCAATAAGGCAGAGTGTGAGGAAGATGCCAGACGTGCTCCTCTGGCCTTCACATTCACAGGAATGTGCATCACCAGCTACATTTCCACAGTTTGTAAGGGAGACAGCTCAGTGGGTAAGAGTAGACACCACACACTACACATACACTCATGTACACACACTCACACATATACTCTCTCTCTCTCTCTCACACACACACACACACAGTCACATATCAATCTTTTGGAAAGTTTGTAAGAGACAACCTGTGTAACTAGTACCTGGCCCCTAGATAAGCCTTAGTGACGGTTTCTGGTGAGTGCTACAGTGATGAGATTGTTTCCTACCCTGGATTTTTGCACTGACATCCTCAGTTTCCGTGTCTACTTTATTATTCAATAGAGTCGTATTCAGGATTGCCTAATTGAAATAATATTTCTAACCCCTTTCATGAAAGTCCATCTTAACATTCTTTCCGAAGTTGATTAGCTCCTCCCAGAACACCAGAGAAGACTAGTGGGTCCCAAATCAGGTAGAGGAAGTGGTGCAGGCCAGCTCTCAGCTGCTGATCCAAGACAACGGTTCTGGTTCTGGATATACCCGAAGGGGGTCTTGCTTTCACAGCTCAGGAAAGAATCCTTCTAGTGCTGGATTGTTGGAGCAGTAAAATCCTTTCCCTATAGATCTCTGCATTTGGCTAGGGGCAAGGGAAAACACACAGTATCTTAAAAAAAATTACCTTCCTATTCTTATAAAGAATGCTTGACCAAAATTCATGCCCTCTACCAAAAACAATTCTCATTAGAAATTGACTTTAAAATGTTCATGGAGTCATGGAATCTGAATTGGAAAGCAACTAGATTAGATAGGTGTTTCTTTTTTTTAATTTTTTGACCTTTATTTATTTGTGTGTGTATGTATGACACAGTGCATGTATGGAGGTCAGAGGACAAGTAGCTACAGTTGGTTCTTTCCTTCTACCCTCTAAGTCCTGGGAAATTGAACTAAAGTGGTTAGGCTTGGCAGCAAGCACCTTTACCTGCTGAGCAATCTTGCTTGTCTGTGAATGTGAAGGCCAGAGGAGCACGTCTCGTATCCTCCTCACTTCACCATCCTAAGCTTGTCACATCATCACACGTGATATCTTTGCCTTGTTATTCTGATCTCATTGGCTATCATTTCTCCTTTACTGTGTGAGAGAGCGAGAGAGGAAGGAGAGAGAGAGAGAGAGAGAGAGAGAGAGAGAGAGAGAGAGAGGTGTCACAACATACCTGTGGAGGTCAAAGGACAGCTTACCTGGTGGAGTCTGTTCTCTTCTTCCTCTGTAACATGGGTTCTGGGGCTCAAACTCCAGTCACTAGGCTCTGCATGGCAAGTGCCTTTACCACCGAGCAGTCTCACTGTCTCTCCTTTTTGGAGAAGTTTTTAAAATGTTTTTTTTTTTTGATAAATTCTCAAAAAGTACAGCCATGCCTCTGTGTTCACATGGATGGGATGATGGTTTCTGCTTGACTCTTTAAAAGGTCAGCTAAAATAAAATAACTAGACTTTATGTCTCTATTTGTTTTAATTTAAGTTGTTTTGGGGATTGTTTGGTTTTTTGTTTGTTTTTATGAAACAGGGTCTCCTCATAGCCACAGCTGGCCTATGACTCACTGTGTAGACCAGGCTAGCCTTGATCTCATAGAGAGCTACCTGCCTCTGCCTTCTGAGTGCTGGAATTAAAGGCGTGCGCCACCACGCCTGGCTTCAAAGATTTTTTTTTATATGTTCCTCATCATCTTACGTCTTTTCACCTTTCATGGACAGGGTAGGGGGAGACATCTTTTCTTATGCTTTTATTTAGCAATTTGATTTTTGCCTAGAATTTCACAATTTTGTGTATTCCTTTTTATATTCCATGTATACATGTATCCCATGTGTTGGAAGCATGACTTTCAGGGAAATTTCAGCTGCAGGTTGCATAGACTGTGATGAAGGTGTGTGATTCCTTCATCTCTTCTTGCTGGCTGGTTTGCTATAAACTGAAAGACTGAACGAGCAGAATCAGCAGCAGGCTCTGCAGTCAGAACGAACTCCAGGTCTGGTGCAGTTTTTCCTGGACACTGGAGAACTCAGGATGTTCATGAACCAGTTCACATCGGCTGTTGTCAGAATGTGGTTGTCAAAAACATGACAGGCCTGGGGCTGGAGAGATGGCTCAGCGGGTAAGAGCACTAACTGCTCTTGCAGAGGACCTGGGTTTGATTCCCAGCATCAACGTGGTGGCTACGAACCATCCTCAACTCCAGTTCCAGGGGAATCCGAAGCCCTCTTCTGACCTCCATGGCACTGCACAACACCGGTACACTCACATATATGCAGTCAATACACTCATACATGTAAAATAAAAAAATAATACTTTTTTTAAAAAAACATGACAGTCCTATGGAAAACTACTGTTGCCTGTTTTGTTGCTAATTCAAGGATTACTTAGATTTTGAAATTTGTGGATATTTTCTGGTCTATTTGGTAGGGCATGTCACCTCTCATAGGTCAAGTTACTAGGAACAAAGGACTAGAAAATACAAGTTAATAATGGTTCTTATTAAATGGTCTCAAAGTCAGCAGTAGTGAGTCATGGGTGCCGCAGAAAGAAGCAGAAGACGGAGGGAACTGTAGGAAATGATGGTTACATAACTGTGGCACCTGTCCCTCTGATGGAATAAATAAAGTAGAAAAGGAGAAAGATTTTAACAAACAAAACTTCAAGTGGAAGGGGGGCAAGCATTCCTAAATATTATGAATAGTTTCAAATGTCAGTAAGTTTTCCTGTAAATTCATTATGTGAAGAGTCATAGAGAATAGTTCTGTGTGGGAAGAGATTTTCTAAAAGAGCACTGACATTTAAAGACCTAAATGTCTTAAATGGAATGACTATTAAAATGCAAAATTGGGCTTCACAGAGACATTTTGGAGACTATATTTGAGTAGCACCCTAAGTGACAGCTAATGAGTGACTCAGATGACTGTGCCATTTGGGCTGACTCATGGGCCTAGAGGAAGATGTCATCAAATCCCTGCTTCCCGGTGTTTTTCTGTTCTGTTTCTGTAGTCCCAAAAAAACCCTGCAATATCTGTTTTTTTTTTTTTTTTTTTTTTTTGACAGGCCTTGTCTCTGTAGTCCAGGCTGACTAGCCTCCAATTTAAAGCAACCCTCTGTCTCTGTCTCCCAAGAGCTGAAATTATAGATATGAGCTACCACACCCAGCAATATCAGTGATGTTTTTAGCTCCCATTTCTTAAGACAACTTTTCTGCAACAAGTCTAAGATTCTGAATGCACAGATATTTGATCTATTTGATCAGCACTTGATGAGAGAAAAAGCCTGAGTCATGTGTGTACCTGTGGAGCATGTGGGAGATGGGAAGTCCCAATGGAATCTTGGGTTGAAAACAGATAACCCAAACTGGGCTTGCTTTGCCGGAATGGAAGAACAGGGTGTTCTTACCCCACTGCTGCCTTCTTAGAACATAACTTGGATCAATTAAATAGTATCTGCTACCTGTACAAGTTGGGCAGGAAGATGAGGAGGGGATGTGCAAATGACGGGGGCCTAGTTTCTGTGTGAGGAAGCTCACAGTCTATCAGAGAAGCTGAACTGGTGGGTGCCACCATTGATGCAGTAATACATGTTAATACATACAAAAGCAACATTTAGGAGAAACCCAGTGAGATTGGTAGACCTAACAAAGCATCTGGCACAGGGCCTGTTCTTAAAGGAAGAACTGAGATTTGCAGCACTGACAAAACAGCAGTGAATTTCAAGAAGAAGCAAAGGCCCTGTGAAGAAGAGATTCCGGAGTCCGGTGTTGGGGTGTATTCAGAGAATGGCTGATATTCCAGTCCAGCCATGGTGTGGAAGATACAGAAAACAATGAGATGGGAATTCAGGGCAAGAGATGGGTCAGGCCTGTGTGGCTGTCGGTATGGTTCACATTGTCTCTGTATCTTGGTATTATCCCCTCTCAAGAATATATCCACCCTGGAAATGGCTATTCTAAATCTATGATTCGGTTTCTTGGCAAAGCCTTGATCTGAAAGCTATATAACAGTAATCTAAGAAAAGCTTGTAATCTTTCCCAGACACACACATCCTTATGCTGCTTCTGATGCTAAGAACCAGCCCTGCCAAGCCCTGATAAACACCTGCTGAAAATCAATAATGAATCACACTCAGACGCATACATACATTGACACCGATATCTGAATATGCAAAGTTAACAGCTGTGTAGCAACTTTCTTTTGTCTTTTTTTTTTTTTTTTCCAGTCCTGGTGATTGAACCTTAGAGCCTGGCCCATGCTAGGCAGGTACTTGACCGCTGGTCCTTATTTTTCTTTCTTTCTTTATTTCATCCTTTTTTTTTTTTTTTGCCAAGCTGCCCAGACTGGCTTTGAACTCACTCTGTAGCAAAGAAGGACCTTGAACTTGAACTCGCCCTGCCACTGCCTCTGGCATAGCTTGGACTCTAAGGCCTGTGATCAAGAGTGGCTGCAGCTTTCAAGATGTGTTTACTTGTGCCGCACACAGATTTTTGTTTGTTTGTTTGTTTGTTTTGACCCTTTGCTCTTTTTCCACAGGACTGAAGAAACGTACAAGGAAGGCCTTTGGCATACGGAGGAAAGAGAAGGACACTGATTCTACGTATGTACTTTAGGAATTTGCCTCTACAACAAGCTCTGCTCTGAGACTCTGCTGTCACTGCCCTAAAGATTGAGACAGAACCTCTTTCAAGAGCATGTCCTTTTTTCTGTTATTTCCCGTAGCTTAAATCTTAGATTTGTGCTTTTTAAAGGAGGTGTGTTTTTTCCACAATGTGTTCAGTTTTTCATCATACCTTTTTCTATTTTTTTTTAACTACTTGGTATGCTGAGGAGGTAGTTTTTCCACCTATCTGATATCTAATCTGTTACTCTGCCCCCCCACGCCCCACCCCACAGCAATCCTGGGAGGTAGAAACTGGTTGTTACTTTTGCAGAAGTTAAAAACCATTTCTACCTCTAGAGTTGTCACTACTATTTTAACTGTAAGAACAACAAAATACCCGTTTAGGTAGGTCAGCCCTAACCCAAACCAGAAATGTGCCTAGATAATATCCCAAAACTCTGAGATGCCAAGATTTTGTGCAGGCAGAACTATAAAACAAGAAACAAAGGATACTTGGTTGCAAGTAAGAACCCAGTGCCAGAAACAACCGAGGATGCTGTGATGTATCTAAGTGACTATACCCCCCAAAATGAATTCCCTGTATACCCCCTGAAACCCTGGAGAATGCCAGTAATGTGAAAGGTCCATTCTACTTTGTTCTTCCTATTTATTTAACAAGTTGACTCTGACACAAAAATCTCACGTGCATATTTCAACTGCACGAGTAACTTCATACATGAACTCAGTTGACCAGGAATGTGGGATTCCAGTCCCAGGTCAGGGTTGAAAAGCACCAGCAGGTAACTGTGGCTGGTGTGAACAGTGAGAGTGCAGGTCTGATATGGTCTTCCATGTATCAGAATGGCCCAGCAAGCCCCTCCTTCATCCAGCGTTCCTGAAAGAGAGAAAGGAAAATCAAAGTTGTGTGGGCAGAGATGAAAATCGTAAGAGACACATTTATTTTCATCTTTAGTATTTCATTTTCATTTTTACTGATTATAAATCTTACCACAGATGCTTAGTATTTCCTTGTGTTCTTCTGCCCTGAGTATGTGATCCAGGCAATAGTTTTACAGAATAAACTTTCCTATAACTAAATGAGATACATGTGAAATGCCTACTGGGCTCCTTAGTATCTAGTAAGTGCCTGCTGCTGCAATTCTTCTTACTAATATAAATTAGTAGTAATAAATTCCTTGTGAGCAGTTGAAATGGAGTGCCACAGGAAGTAGAAGGTAAGAAAACCCATGTGTGTTCTGATGCTTTGTGGTGGGAAACCTGGAGTTCAACCTTTATAAAGAAGAGGACCTGCATTTCATGCAAATGGAGCAATGATAGCAAAACAGAGAAGTGGGAGGCCCAGCAGGCATCAGCACAAGGCATGTGGCCCATGCGCTACAGGGAAAGGCGGTGACAGGAGGCAGGCATGGAGATGGGGGTGAGGTGAACTAGGAAGACCTTCAGTTCCAAACCGAGGAGCCTGGGCTTCCTCCCTTAGGCAGCGGGTCACCTTGAACCCTCAAAAGATCATAAGCCAAAGGTGTAAAGAATTGAGGAAGTAGAAGTTAGCTTTTTGTCTCCATGGCAGATGTGGTCTCTTTTTACATTTTCTTTGTGTTCCTTCTTTGGGTAAATATTTCCTGGAAATTGTGTTTGTGCAATCTTGAAATGTTTTCTAAATGATTAAATTAAGAATATGCTTTCTGAGGTTCAAATAATTCACAATGTTTCTTAGTAAATTTTCCATTTTCTAAACACTAACCAATCATAATAGACAGTGTTCCTTTACTTGCTTTTAAACACAGGGGCTCTTGTCCCAATTCAGCCAAGAACCTTAAGACCTTGGAAATTATACTGTCCTTCACAAGACCTCAGTTCCTCACCTGTAACAATAAAGTTTCTACTAGATGAAACTTAATTTCCCTAAAGGAAAGACACTGAACGAGTCTGTCAGTCACATTTCCCACACCTACAATGTGGCATGTGTTGTGGGGGACATGGTTGGAAGCACCTCGAATAGCATCAGAGCAGAAGCCAAGTTCATTGTTCTATGAAGACCATCTCTGTAACTGTAGCCAGGGTTTTCTGATATCTGAAAAAAGCTAAAATGATTTTTTTTAATTTGAAAGAAAGAAAGAAAGAAAGAAAGAAAGAAAGAAAGAAAGAAAGAAAGAAAGAAAGAAAGAAAGAAAGAAAGAAAAGAAAAAGAAATAAAACCGCTCCCCAGGGCAGAGCTAATTGCCATGTGGCCAAAGCAATTCTATTCCATCACCGTTGCTAAAGCTATGATAGAAAGTTGTTCCTCTCAGAGGCCTTCTAATGAGACATTACTTTGTAGGCTCCCCAGCATTTCTCCTTAACTTCTTATCATCTGAGTGCCAAACTACTCATGGGATAGCAAATTAACTATAAACTGGTTTTCCCAGCAGTGACAGTTAAAGGATAAGCCATCTTGGAAAAGCTTTTCTTTTTCATGAACCCCTGCTCTCTAATTGGATCACGTATCCGTCTTGGAAAAGGAATCATAAACACAAAGGGGTTAGTAGAATGCTCTGGCGATTTGCTGTCCCTTCAGCTTTAATTAATGCTTCTGTCAGCCTGCAGTCATCGAGACCTTGTTGATGCAAACTGTTTTCAAGACTGTTGCAATTGGCTCAGGGTTGCTAAGCAACCCGTTGGGGGTAGCTGCCAGCACCAACTTCAGCTGATTGAACTGTCTATGAGAGGATGGGGTAAGGAGCAGGGCTTCCTGATTTGATCGTCATTACAGTGGCTGATAGAGGAAAGGAAAGCCTGGCAGGCCCTGTGCAGAATTTTTTTATTGCACTGATATCTTCCTTAATCCTCACATAATTCAATAAGGTTAGTGGTATTATCTCACTTCGAGAGATGAGAAATCAGTGCCAAATGGGACTAAGTAACTTGCTGAAGGCCATGAAGAAAATAAGGCTCGGAGCCCAGTATTCCACTCTAGAGAGTCATACCTATGCATTTAGCTTCCAAAAGACAAGACATGGATGCAAAAGATTGCAACCCAGACAAATAGAGTTCAAGAGAAACGGTAGTCTTTCATTTTGAAAACCAAGCGTCCATGATAAATGATTAGGTTTAAAATAGATCTTATCAGATATAATAGATCTGTCACACAAAGAGGAAAACTTATTAAAATGAAATACAGGCCCAAGGCTTGCTTGGTTCTCTTATATACTGCTATATAAATTTGTCATCATCCAAAGATGGCAAGTTAGGAACAGCCTCTGTGTGATCCGGTGGAGAAGGTCAGTCTGTCCCTGGGAGAAAAAGACCAGAACATCAGAAACACACAACAAATTGGCAAGAAGGCTGAGGGTTATAGACAGACAGCAGAAGGGCCAGGAGCTGGAGAGATGGAGCAGTGGTTAAGAACACTAGCTGCTTTGGGTTCTGCACCCACATGGTGGCTAACAACTACCTGTAACTCTAGTTCCAGGGGATCTGACCCCCCCTTCTGACCTCCATGGGCTTTGCATGCAAACACTCACACATATAAAATAAAATCTTTTTTAAAAAAGGGAAAACCAAGCCAGGCATGATGGCACACACCTTTAGTTCTAGCACTCAGGAGGCAGAGGCAGGCAGATCTCTGAGTTCAAGGCCAGCCTGGTCTGCATAGTGAGCTCCAGTCCAGCTGGGGCTACAGAGAGACCCTGTTTCAAAAAAGACCCAAAAAGGGTGGCACACAACTTTAATCCCAGCACTACGGAGGCAGAGGCAGACAGATCGCTGGTCTACATAATGAGTTCTAGACCAGCTGGGGCTACAAGGAGACCCTGCCTCAAAAAAGACGCCCCCCCGAAAAAAGAATTTTTCCAATTAAAAAGAAAGAGAACAACAAAATGGATAATCAATCACAAATCAACTTTATGGTATCTGTGAGAAACTGATTTTACATCCAAAGGCACAAACATATTTTAAATGAAAGGACAACACTCAGGGCAGAGGCAGGCAGAGCTCTATATAACAAGTCCCAAGACAGGGACTCTATTCAAA